GACAACTCGTAGTGAAGAGATATCATCGGAAGATAACCCAGCAGATCCGCTTACGAAGGGACTGAGTAGGGTTAAGCATTTGCAGCATGCTAGGAGTATTGGGCTGAAGGATGATATTAGCATAGATTAGATAGTATTAGAAACGTGTAATAGATAAATGTAATTAACATTTGATGATTAAATAAAGGAGTTTTATTTATAAGTAATGTTACTGTCTTATGTTAATTGTTTAACTATTGTTTCACTTTGCATGTTTTGACTTCCAGAATAATTGAGTTTATTAAGAATAATCGAATTGTTCAAATAGTCCACAATCGTTCATATGTCGGAAGTAGATATGAATGAAGATTGTCATGAATAGGTGTGTAGAGTGTCTAAATGGTGTTAGACATAGCAAAAGATTGTTGCAACGTTCATGAGTGCTTATGAACTAGGTTTGAGCATTGGAACAAACCCGCGCTTGCTGGAATCACCTTATGGAATGTGATAGTAAAGTGGTGATCGCAAGACGATAATATCATATAGTCTTAAAACCTAGATATATGGTTTGTTATTGGTTAATTGATTGTACATTGATAATGCGAAAATGCATTGGTAACTCGATGTTATAAAACGCATTGTTGTGTGTAGTTGGTTAATGAATAAGTAAATGCATATAAGTCGAAGTTTATCTGTAACTTTTATCCTAAGAGGGAAAAAGTGATATCTCGGCCGCTCGATGATTTGATTTGACTTATGTGCCAGGCCCGGTCAAAACTAAATTGATGTGTTCGATTAAGTTCTATGTCAAATAAATCGGAGATCGAGAAACCAAATGCTAGACTAACTATTCCATAGTATTGTCAGCATGATATCTAACAGAGGACTGTACGATCCCTTATCTAAAGGACAAGATTGATTAGATCAGAGTTTGACAGCGTCTTTGAGAGCTACGATTGCAAATCGGAATGTACCTGCGCATATAGTTACTAGACTTATCCAAGTGGGAGACTGTTGGAATAGTGTCTAAGGCTGCAACTATATTAGGCAAGTATTTGACCCGATTGTGCATGGTCCTTTTGGGTTGCCTTCACCATAGCAACTTGATAGGATGATTTATTAAGAGAGAGTAAATATTATTAGTATATTATGAGAATAATATAAAGAATAATATATGTTATTTGATTAATATAAGTCATAGAATTAATTGAGTTAATTTGGTGACTTAAAGAGATTAATTAAATAAGAGGGTATAAACTGTCAATTGTTTGATAGTTACACTTTAGACTGTAAATCCTTATGGGAGATAGGTTGGACGATTTCTAGGGCTAGGATAAGCCAAAATCGTCCAAAGGGTTATCAAGGAAAGGATATGGATTAACTTAAAGTCTAAGTTATCCAATTAGGGTTTAAGCTGTAACCCTTAAGGAGTCTACAAGTATAAATAGACCCTATGGGATAGAGAATTCGGTACCCATCTAAAGTAAGATACTCTGGCCGAATTCCTCCCCTCTCCTCTCTCCAAATCATCCTCCTTGCTATTTGGTGTTTGTAAGCCATTAGAGGAGTGACAATTGTGACTCTAGAAGCTCCAAGACAACAAGATCAACAAGGAATCAAAGGTATGATTCTAGATCTGTTTCAATATTGTTATTACACCTAAATAGTCATTAGAAGTCTTGGATTCAAAGCATGTTTGATTAGAAAGCCTAGATCCAAGCATTAGGGTTTTGCATGCGCACATAGGAAAGTTCTTATGGCTAAAACCCATCACTAATAACATTAA